CGAATGGATAAGATGTGCTCCCCCACGAGGGCAGGGAGCACGGGTCCCCCCTGATGTCTGGTGGTGCCTTGCCTCGCTCCGCATCCTCCCCTCTTCCTTCTCCCACACTTCAAAAAATCCCTGATACACACACCACACACACAAATAGTCACAAATCCCAGGAATCCCTATCTTTTCCCCTACGTTCTGGGTTCCGTCTTCCCCCCAACTTCCCATATCGTGCCATATATTTTCCTGGAGGTCGACGGTGAATGCTGCCTGTTAATCCCACCAGCCCTTTGGGCGTGAGTGGTTTAGAGAGCTCTCTCTGTCCTCAACCCTCCTTCTTCCCCTTCGGGGAGGGGTTTACCCCTCCCCCTACCCCCTCCCCCTGGACCTGGAGAGGGAGTCCGGGGCGTAGTCAGGGGGGTCTTTTTTGACTCCTGGGAGGGCCAAAAAACGACGACCCTCACGAGGATTCTGGCCCCGTCGGGGGGATACAGTTTGGCCCCTCTGCTCTTCTTTGAAGCCAAAATCGTTGATTTTACTACGGTTTTGGCCTCATTTTGGCGTCCTGAGGGGGCCGCGCTCATCTTCCTTCATAGCAAAATCATTGCTTTTACGCAGGTTTTGGGATAATTTTGTTCTTTTCAGGGGGCAGCTCTCATTTGCGCTTCTGAGGAGGTCCCAAGAGGCCCCAAGATGGCCCCAAGAGGCTCCCAGGAGGCTCCCAAGAGGCCTCCAAGAGGCCCCCCAGAGGCCCCCCAGCGGCCCCAAGAGGCCCCCCAGAGGCCCCCAAGAGGCTCCCAAGAGGCCTCCAGAGGCCCCAAGAGGCCCCCAAGAGGCCCCCCAGAGGCCCCCAAGAGGCCCCCAAGAGGCCCCAAGAGGCTCCAAGAGGCCCCCAAGAGGCTCCACGAGGAGCCCGAACGATTCACACCAGGCCGAGGGGCCCGAACGACTCACACCACGATTAGCCCGAACGACTGGTACTGCTACTGCTACTGGTACTGCTACTGCTCGAACGACTCACACCAGGACGAGGGGCCCGAACGACTCACACCACGATTAGCTCGAACGACTGCTACTGCTACTCCTACTGGTATTGATACTGCTAGTGCTATTCCTCGTACCGCTTCTCGTACTACCACTACCACTACTCGTACTACTACTGCTCCTACTACTACTACTACTACTACTACTACTACTACTACTACTACTACTACTACTACTACTACTACTACTACTACTACTACTACTACTACTACTACTACTACTACTACTACTACTACTACTACTACTACTACTACTACTACCTACTACACTACTACTACGACTACTACTACTACTACTACTACTACTACTACTATACTACTACTACTACTACTACGACTACTACTACTACTACTACTGCTACTACTACTACTTACTACTACTACTACTACTACTACTACTTACTACTACACTACTACACTACACCACCACCACCACCACCACACCACCACCACACCACCACCACTACCACTACCACTACCACTACCACTACCACTACCACTACCACTACTACTACTACTACTACTACTACTACTACTACTACTACTACTACTACTACTACTACTACTACTACTACTACTAATTGTACGAGTACTATAATAATCCCACCAGCCCTTTGGGCGTGAGTGGTTTAGAGAGCTCTCCCTGTCCTCAACCCCCCTTCACCCCTCCCCCTACCCCCTCAACCCCCCTTCTTCCCCTTCGGGGAGGGGACGACCTCGAGAGGGAGTCCGGCGGGTCGTTGGGGGGGTCCATGTCGACTCCTCGGAGGGCCACAAAACGACGACCCTCACGAGGATTCTGGCCCCGACGGGGGGACGGAGATAGGCCCCTCTGCTCTTCTTTGAAACCAAAATCATTGATTTTACTACGGGTTTGGCCCCATTTTGGCCTCCTGAGGGGGCCGCGCTCATCTTCCTTCATAGCAAAATCATTGATTTTACTAAGGTTTCGGGCTCATTTTGTCCTTATCAGGGGGCAGCGCTCATTTGCGCTTCTGAGGAGGTCGCAAGAGGCCCCAGGATGGCCCCAAGAGGCTCCCAGGAGGCTCCCAAGAGGCCTCCAAGAGCCCCCCAAGAGGCCCCCAAGAGGCCCCAAGAGGCCCCCAAGAGGCCCCCAAGAGGCCCCCAAGAGGCCCCAAGAGGCCCCAAGAGGCCCCCAAGAGGCCCCCAAGAGGCCCCCAAGAGGCCCCCAAGAGGCCCCAAGAGGCCCCACGAGGAGCCCGAACGACTCACACCAGGACGAGGGGCCCTAACGACTCACACCACGAAGAGCCCGAACGACTCACACCACAAGGAGGGGCCCGAACGACTCACACCAGGACGAGGCGCCCGAACGACTCACACCACGAGGAGCCCGAACGACTCACACCACGACGCGGGCCCCGAACGACTCACACCACGAGGAGCCCGAACGAGTCACACCAGGAGGAGGGGCCCGAACGACTCACACCAGGATGAGGGGCCCGAACAACTCACACCACGAGAAGCCCGAACGACTCACACCAGGACGAAGAGCCCGAACGACTCACACCACGAAGAGCCCGACGACTCACACCAGGAAGAAGGGCCCGAACGACTCACACCAGGACGAGAAACCCCAAACGACTCAAATCACGAGGAGCGCTTTCTCTCCCTCCTCCTCCGCCTCGTCCTTCTCCCGCTCCCCCCACAAGGAGGATGTACAAGGAGGCGGGAGGAAGGAGGAACAGGGGAGATATGCAGGGCCAAGCGGACACACGCCTGAACAACACGACTGTCGGCATGCTTCGCGAGAATTGCTGCTGTGAGATGGGCTGGTGGGGATACGCGAAGCGTAAAGAATTTTCCCTCCTGAGAGTTTGTGTCGCGACGACCCATTTCCGCTCCGCACTGCTGCGGACCATCGCCCCTCGCGGCACGAAAAATCTCCGAGGGTTGGAGCACAAGCCATGATCCAACCCTCCTCCTAATCCTCCTCCTCCTCCTCCTCCGCCTCCTCCTCCTCCTTCTCCTCCTCCTCCCATCGTCCGCGCACATGCCTCGGGCCATGAGTTGCGACCCCCCCCCTCTTGGACGCTCCCGACCCCCCGCCGTGGTACACGTGTCGAATCAGACCGAGTGGTGCGACGAAATCCGTTTGAGAGGCTTCGTCGCACCACTCGGCTTGTTTCGAACACGTTCGTTCAAGGACTAAGGATTCGAGGAGTCTCGGTGGGCACATACCACACCCTATTCACACGCACCGATGCTGACAAATGGCACCGCGGGATCAAGATCGATTGATACGCCGCCCTGGGCTTGCCATGAAGGCTAATGCGGCTAGGCAGCCTCCCAACCCCAAGGATCAGGGAGCACAGGAGAGAGGATGAGGTAGGATGGAAGGGGATGGATGAGGTTGGAGGCGGAGACAGAGGGTTGAGGATGGACTGAGTTCCTGGGTGGACTTGCAGGCTGAACGAGGGTTTTTGGGGGCTCCTGGACTTTGGAAGAAGTGAACAGAACATGGAACTGAGACCAAGACCAAGTAACGCAGCGCACCGAACCAAGTCAGAGACGGGGCACGCAACTGGAAGGCTAACACAAAAAAGGAGAAATATGATATAGGAAAGAGAGGGGTATGAGAAAGGAGGAACAGGAGGGAAGACACAACTGTGAAGGACGAGGGAGGGTGGGAGAAAGAGGCAATTGGAAAGAAAGAAATCGCCACCCCATGCCTCCGATAAACATGATATTACTCAACCCGCGAACACTGGAACTCTCGACCCATTTCCTGGGAACGAGAGCCGAGATCCAGATGAAGAAGCGGCGAAGTTCTCCTCATCAGAGTCCACAAATTGATTGCTCCTGGGCTCAGACATGGCTCGAGCGGGTAATCTCGACCGATTTCACATGCAGGATGGACGCTTCGCTCCACAATACCTTCTGATTGGCCCAAGGCTCAGGAATGGCTTCTGTGCGAAATCCGCCGACCCTGTCGGCGTGTGGACCCCCTGGCGGCGTGCGCTCAGTCGACGCATCCGTTGTCCTCTTTCCCTGCGTCTCCGTCGTCCCCTTTCCCTGCACCCTCCTCTTCAAGCCTGCCAGCGAGAAAAAACCGTAGCAACGTCGCACTGAAGTCGAAGGGAAGCCCCTTCCCTTTGATCCCTCCCCCGCCGAGGAGGCGGGGGGTCCAGAGAGGGGTCCGGGGGGGGGTCCCGGGGGGGGGGGGGGGGGGGGGGGGGCAGATATACGCTTCCGCCACTGGGCGTCCCGGAGCCCAAAAGGGCGCCGAGGCGCACCAAAAGGGCCCCAAGCAGGCCCAAGAAGAGGACCACGAACCGACATTTCGAGCTTCCCGCCCCAAGAAGCCCCCAGAAGGCCCCAAGATCCCCTCAAGGGACCCGAAGAGGCCCCCAAGAGGCCCCCAAGAGACCCCCAAGAGGCCCAACAGAGGCCCCAACAGGCCCGAACACATCCAAGAGGCCTTTCAACCACAACCCCAGCACAGTGGCGGGAAGGGCCGCAAGCCACAAGACTCCCTGTCTGTCTCTGCTACGACTCCCTCGGCCCACATGGGTAACATCTCCTTCGCCTTCTCCTGCTCCCTTCCACATCAATCCCCCTCCTCCTCCTCCTCCTCCTCGTATTCGCCATCGTCGTCTTCAGGGTCGGCGGCACCAGCCGTAAGGCCTTAGCAACACCCGAATCACCCAAAGTTCAACGACGACAACCGTGAACCAGACCAATTCGATGCTGGCCTCCGCGCAGAGGGCGACCAGTTCAGTGGGGGAAGCATCCCGCCTGCAGCCGATAGATCGGTGATAGGCCCCCGATGAAAGATTCGCACGCACGTTCCTGGACGGGGCGCGATCATTGCGTTTGGGGGTCGATGCGCCCCCCCCCCCCCCCCTGAGCCTGTTCCTCCCCTGACGTTCCCCATCGACGTGCATCAAGCTGGTCTGGCAGCACGCGGTTGGCTTCGGCCACGAGAGGTTCGGCTCCAGATCTCTCCTGCCGCGTTGGGGGCGGGCGCGTACAGAAAGACGTCCACGGCGTTCCCGGGCTCGGCCTCCAGGACGGACAGCACCTGCCCCCCAGACGTCCGGGGGCTCGATCCATTCTCGAGAGACGACGTGTACCCCTGCCTAGCCCTCTCGACCCCTCCCCGAAGGTGGGAGCCGCGCAGAATACACAAAAAGGTCTGCGGGCTTTCGCCCGACAGACCAAGCCCAAGGAGATTTCCACCACATACTGTGCGCAGTGGCGGTTGCGAGTAGCACTTCATTGCACGTGTCCCCGAGAAGGGCCGGCGTTTCGCCCGGCCGTGGGATGCTCGCGACCCCGAATCGTCTCTTGCGGACTGACCCGGGCCGGAGCCACGACGCGGAGCAGCCAGGGCCACGTTTAGAACCCCCAGGCTGGCCGGGTGGCTCACAAGCAGGGGGCATCAGAGGGAGGGTGCAGCAGATTCGTGTCGTGACGACTTGGGCATCGGTTTCTGACACCGCTTGGATCGTTCAACCTTGAACGATCGGCTGCTCCTCGAAAGCGCAGATCTTACCATGCTGGACGCATGGCTGCTGCTGGCGTTCAACCTTGACCACCCGCGGTGCGGTCGTCGCCAAGTCGGACCGAGCCTGCCGACGCTATCGGCGACTACAACTGGGCTTGTGAACAGGTGTCTAGAGGAGGGAAACACCGCCTAAACATGAACTCTTGAAAGCCCGAAAGTTATAACTTATGCAGTGAGTTTATTCTTCGAGCTTCTGCACTAGAGGCCTCATCGATGGGGACCGAGCAGAAGGGGTCGGAAAATTGCGCGGCAGCGCGCAAGGGGGGTATGCTTCTTAGAAGGAGGCTGCTTCTTAGAAGGCGCCGGCCTTACATCTACAGAGAAGGCCCGCGCCTTCTAAGAAGCAGGGGTGCTTCTAAGAAGCCTTCACCCCTCCCGGGGAGTCGTCAGACTCAGGTTCGGGGGACTCGGGTTGGCTGGGCGAAGCCGTCCAAAAAATGGTCAGGCCCAATCTGGAACTTGACGCGACCTCCCGCTGCAAACATCCCACGGACACGGAACCGTCAAAATCCAGGGCGGGCTCGTCTGAAAGCGAGGGCGAACTCGAGTTCCGGCGTACTCGAGTCGTACGTTTCCCCGATTGGCTCCTGCCACCACAGAGATCGTTCCACCTTGAACGATCGGCCTTTTTCGCAGCGTCAGATCGACCGACATCGACCGATTCTGGGTCGCCGGCGGCGCTCGACCGCTACCGCCGGCGGCGGGGTCGCCGCCGGTGGACACGACGCGGACCTGCCGCGCGCACCCGGGTCGGCTGCGCATGGCTCCCAATTCAGCGCTGTCCCCGATGGGCACTCCGCACCCGCGTGCTCGGCAGGCGGGTCCCGCAGACGCAGGACGCCTGCGCTGCCCCGGCACGGGAGCTGCGCGCCCCCGCTGCTGCCACGCCGCCCTGCGGCTCGCCGGAGGTGCACTGGGCGCTGGCCCGGCGGCCGCTCGGCTTCCGACGAGCCGTCGGGGTTCGACAAAAACTCGGCGCGCCCCCGCGCCGCCCCGTCGGGCCTAGGGCGCTCAGCCTGGACGCGGCTCCGCCAGCCCCTCTCTCCGACAGATCTCGCAACAGATCAGTCGGAACGAGCTGGGCCCAGCACGGATGACAGGAGAGCCCAGAACCGAATCGATCCGTCGGATCGGCGATCGAAAGGAAACGGATCGGCGAAACTCGGCAGCCAAGTCGGGAGGAGTCGAACTGGCGGAAATCCGCAGGCCAGCAGGGGCTCCATTGAGAAATCGGAGCCCTAATCGACGAATCGAATTGGAATCGGAAGCCATCGAAATCGAGTCGAATCGGAGGAATCAACATGGACCTTGGATGACGCAGGCGCGGCTACCCACGTCCAACATTGCGCCTCCGAGTGGCCGAGAAAATCGAAAAGAGTGCCGCCTCGATGTGTTCTGGCAGCTCAGTGAGGCGGCGGCGAGGGTTTGGGTGGCACCAGGGGGGGCTCTCCCGATCGATCTCGAGCGGGGAGCCCTGGTCGGGGGTCACCCCCATGGGCGAGGGTCGGGCGGGTGCTAATGGGGGGTGACCGGGGGTGAAGAAAACGGCCCTAAAGGGACCCTTTAGCGCCCCTTTTGGGCACCAACTGGCTCCAAAAGGGGCCCTAAGGGCTGCTTTAGGGCGTTTTTCTTCACCCCCTATGTAGGTCCCCCCCACATTAGCACTCGCCAGAGATGGGCCATGTGTTCTTGGCATCGGGACCTGGCTTCGGGCGAAATCGGCGCTGGATTTCCTCCCTGGCGAGCGGAGCGCGCCAGGGACGGCGCAAGAGGCGCTGCGGAAGGGAGGGGCTCTCCAGCGCCGTTCCAAGAGATCCGCGCGGACATCCGGAAGTGTATGCTTCTGCTGACGCTCCCTCCTTGAATTTCGAACGTCTTGACTTAGCACGCCCGAGCCGGAGGCGGACAAAGTGGTCAATGCCCGCGCAGACACTGGCAACGAGCCCTGCTCTCAACTCTTCTCATGCCTATTTCGATCGCACCGACTGGTTGTGCTTCCGCCCCACGTCACGTCGCGCTGCTTAAACTGACATGGCGCAAACCTGGCTCAGCCAATTTTGGACAAAAACACTGCGCTGCAATATGCTTAGCTGGGCTTCACAAACCCAGCTCTGCCAACAAAGCCACCCCCCGCCCAGGGCTGCGATCGTCTCCCAAACCTGGCTCAGCCAAAAGCCAGCATTGCAGGATCTAGCAGGATCTGGCAATCTGGCGCTCTGGCTGGCTGGCACCTGCCGGCCGGTCACAGCGATCTCCGCGCCCCCCCCCCGGGCCTGTTCCTCCAGCGTCGCCAGCGTCCGCTCCAGCGCCCGCAAGCGCCCCGTGACGCAGACGGCAACGCGCTCGCCTATCGGGCATCGGCGCCGCGGGCGGGGCGCGTTCGCGACGTTCGGAAGAAGCGGCTGGCATTGGGAATGCTGTTGGGATCCTGTTGAATCCAGGGGGTGTCAGGTGCCAGGGCAACGCTTGCAGGGCTCCAGACGCGTCATGTGCACCAGATGAGGCGGGGGGGGTCTTACTTGCTCTTTCGGGCGAGGAAACTGCACTGGGAGGGCAATGGGAACAGCCTGGTCTCTCCCCATTGCCCCCTGAAGAGGGAGAAGGGGAAGCCGCTTGCCTCTTGGAATTGGACGGCGCCCCGAGCAGATTGGAATCTGGGGGTCCACAACAAGACACCTGCTTTCAAACATCGACGGGTACGGTGGAGCGCGTTTCTTTAATTTCGCCGACGATGGGCATTATAGGGGGGGGGGGGCCGGGGGGGCTATAATGTCACGCCCCCCCCCAGTCGCGCAGGGCGCACAACGACGATGGGCGACGACCGACGCGCGACGAGCGACGACGATGACGACGACGCGAGAAGCATGTAGGTGGCGACCTGCCCCACAGGGCCAAAACACACCACAATGCTCGTGCACCACAACGCGCGTGTATACCAGAGCGCCGCGTACACCGCAGCAGCCGTGTGCGACGCAGCGCCTGTGTACACCACAATGCTTGCGTGCACCACATCGCCGGTGTACGCCACAGCGAATGTATATGCCGCATCAACCATGTGCAACACAGCGCCTGTGTACACCACAATGCTTGCGTGCACCGCAACGCCCGTGCACACCACAGGGCCTGTCTATACAACAGCATCCACGTGCAACGTTGCGCTGGCGTACACCACAGTGCCTGCGTGCACAGGACAGGTAGCAGGAGCATGTAAGTGAGGATCTGCTGCGGACAGCTACACACCACGCCAGGGAAGTGATGATAATGTAATGCGATAGTTTGTCCCTCTTCCCTCCTCCGCCACCTCCATCTCCACCTCCTTTTCCTCTTTCTCCTCCTCTTCCTCCTCCACCTCCTCCTCCTTTTCCTCCTCTTGCTCCTTCTCCTCGTCCCCCTCCTCGCCCACCCTTCCCTCTGTTGCACCGACCGGCGCTGCAGCGCACGTGCGCATCTCGGCGTGAAACGCAGAATCGCCCATTGAATGAATCCATTTGGTTTTCGGACGGCCAATTATGGTGGATCCTCCTGGACGCATATGGGACGAATTTGGATGATGCGGGAAAACTCGGGCGGACTTGTAGATTCCAGAGGCGCTCCATCTTCCAGCAGGGTCCCTTTCTCAATCCTATATAAAACCATTGGTTTCAGTGGAATCCCATTGGTGCTCCATTTTGTCATAAGGATTCATTCATTGTAACATTTAATATGCAACAGTGGCACTCTGTTGCACACGGTTGCATCGGAGCACGCGGGCGCCATGGTGTACACAGGCGCAGCGTTGCACGCGGGCCTTATGGTGTGCACTGGTGTTGTGTTGCACGCGGCTAATGTGGTGTACGCAGGCGCTGTGGTGTATACAAACGCTGTGGTGCTCGCAGGCATTTTGACACACCCACACACACAGTGTGGCGCTGTGTTGCACGCGGCTGCTGTGGTGAACATAACCGGTGTGGTGTACGCAGGCGCTGTGCTGCACGCAGGCACTGTGGTGTACACAAGCGCTGTGGTGCAGATCGCCACCTACATGATACTGCATTCCTAGACGCCGCCGGCGTCATCGACCCCCTCCACCCCCAGATGACGGCCGTCATCGGCCCATAAAAAAAGACTCCAGCCGCGCCCGTGCGCACACCGATGATGAGCGACGAGCGACGAGCGACGAGCGACGAGCGACGATGACGACGACCACGACGACGACGACGACGACGACGACGGCGGACCAGACTCCTACGCGGATTCCTATGCGGACGCCTATGCGGATCCCGATGCGCACGGCGGCAGTGCCCGGGGCGCCCTGGGGGGGTGGGGGGGGGGCCTTACGTTATAGGGGGGGGTGGGGCGCCGGGGGCTCTAATGCCCACTATGCCCCCAACAATCAAGAAACACGCTCGTGCAAGATCCGATCGGGCCACGGGTAGTGCAGCTGTGCACCGCTGCCGCGAGGATCGAGGCTCGAGGATCGCAGCAGGCAAGGACGCCCAAGCTCGCGCTTCGCGCGGCACAAGGCGTGAGGCGCGCCGTTCGCGCTCTCGCGCCGCCGCCCCCCCTCCCCTCCAGCCGGGGGCGGAAGAGACGATGAAGATGGGGAACGAGGATCGATGATGAACAGACCGTGTGTTGGCGCCAACGTGTGCTTGTCCACCAAAGCCCGTCAATATGACCCAGGCGGTGCAACGAGGGACAACACAAGCTGTGCGGTATCGGCGAAGCCGAAACTGGGGGACACACACTTCAACGAACACACGTCCTGAACATCATCGAGAGGAGGAGGGAAGCTGCCCATGAACCGCGAAACCGCTTCGCGCCCTCGCGGGCGCCCTTGGGCAAAGACCCGGCACCGACCTGAACTAATGAGCGCCCCGCGCGGGCGAAAGGACTCTTGCGCAAGCGCACCAGGAGGAAAGGGTCGGGCAGGAGCCGTGCAGGAGACGCACCAAGCTGCGCAGAGAAAAAGCACATATGTGGAGGGTCGGGGCGGTGATTCCTAAGACGAGGCCAAGACTGGAGGAACAACAAATGGCATCCAAAATATCTCTAGGCGGTCCGCGTGGATTTCTTGGATCTGCGCTGGGCCCTCCTCCTTGGCGCGCGGAGCGCGCCAAGGGCGGCGCCGAAGGCGCTGCTGGGAGGGGGCCCCGGCGCGGATCTAAGAAATCCGTGCGGGGCGCCAAAACTTTCTGTTGGGGATCTCTGAGGTCAGCCAGTTCTCTGGAGGATGTGCTGGGCGCCGCGGTCTTTTCCCGAGCGCTCCGGAGCGCTCTGGAACGATTGATCTCAGTCCCAGCCCCGCCCGACTTTCTCTCGCATATTCGCAGAGGCCCTTTTAGCAGAACGCCCATTCGTGCAATCTGCCGGGGGCACTCCACTGGTGCGCGCGGCACCACATTCCGAGTGGACTCGGGCGGAAAAGCTCGGCACTCAGAAGCTGCTCGAATGTATGTGTCACGACGCACGTCAATTGGCCGAACCGACGGATAGGTGCACGAATACACTGCGAATGCCAGTGTCAAATGCCGAATGATTTCGTGAAGAATTCCTCAATCGACTCGACTGGGCGGGCGTTCACTCAATGCCCGATCCTCCCGTGACGTTGGCCCACGAGTCCAGATCAACCGCCTGGGGAACCGATGTCCTGGGACCTCAGGCCCCAGGGCATCGGTTGATATTTGGCCCCCGGGGGTGTGCATACGAAGGAATCACAGCCTCGGACCCTGCGCCAGCATGCACCAGATCGTCGCCTCTTTGCAGGCATCGGGCCACATCGGTATCGAATGGGACTGGGCTGGCTGGCATGGATACCGAATCGGACTGGTCGTATCGACATGGACCCCGCTTAGTGACCTCGGGAGACCTCGTCGGTGGCAGATCTATCCCCACGACCTCGTGGGCCGGGCTCCTAGGCCGCGACCCCATGCATACGGGATGCTTTTCCGCGGATGCCCGCGCGGACAATACCATGCAACCGCGCATCCACAAGATCGCGCCCCGGGATCCAGACCGCGGGGGGCATGAATGTGGACATGCTCGCCGCTCGCGAGGACCTCCCGACACCTCCAGAGGCCTCCCGAAGCCGCGCGCCCCTCCACCCAGGCGTGCAGCCCAGCGCCCAGCAGCAGAGCGGAAACAGGGACCACCGCCACGGAGAACCCAGCAAGGCCGGGGCCCCTGTGCGGCGGCACGCCCGAGCGCCAACCGGGTACAGGAAGACGCTTGGGCGTGCCACCGGCCAGGGGTCGGCCCTGGTGGTGCTGGTCCCTGCTTCTCCTCTGACTGCAGGCGCCTGGTAGCGCGGCCGACGACGCGCCAGCTCCATGGAAGACGCGGGCCGCGGCTCTGTGCGGCAGGCT